GTAGTTTACATGTAAAAATAACTCAATCCACATGCAAATTGGGGATTTTAACATGTGAAAAGACAAATTTCACATGCGTTTTTTTTTGTAAGTGACTTTAACTTCTGTTACTTGGTGGCCTGTGAGTGGATTGTGTTTCTGTATATATGAACGAAGGGATAAGCAGTAGATGTGGCCGTTTATCATTAATTGCCCTGGTAACACATGTAACCCCTTTCCCCCAGATAATACCATTTTTTTAAAAGTAAAAAAAAATATATTTAATAAGACCCAAAGAAAAGGTTTAGACATCAGGAAACATCATACAGTATGACTCACCTCCATAGTAGATATATGGAGATCCATGCCAGCAGGGACCAAAACCTTCTGGTTCCCTCCGCCCATACGCACATACACATCCCTGGGTCTCCATCCCCGCACCCTCCCAGCAACAACCACCAGTGAAATGTCGCGACAAGTCTCCCCCATCAGCACTGATCACTGTTTTATGCTGCTGTGAAGAAGGAGCACCATGAACTTGCCCTGCCAGGCCGGAGCTGCTGGGGATCCCTGAGTGGGTGGGAGGTTTGGAGGTGCACCGCTGAGCATCAGCAGCCTGATTGATGATGTCATCACAACCTACAGGTACAAGTGAGAAGTTATTGGATAACTGGGTGAGATTTCATTTGGAATAACTTTAGCATTTTTATCAACAGCTGATTTAATGAATATGTTATATTTTTCTGGAAACATGTAAATGGACTCTGTTTCTTTGGCTCTTGACTCCACTGAGCTTCGGGAGCGATCTGGGGGTCAGCCCAGTCGCCAGAAGAAAATGTTTGCATCATACATTGCTTCAAACCACAAAACAAAACATAAAGTTTAAATGTACCCTTTACATAGTAATGTACAAATGTATAGTGTCCATAGTTTGCAGAGATGTACATTGCCGATATGTTTTAGAGTCTTGCCCAAGGACACTTTGATGCATGGAGTCAGGGATCAAACCACCAACTCTACAATTGACGGAGGACTCTTCCTGCTGAATAGAGCCCTTAAAAAAGCCACACTTCTTGGTTTTCATATAAGAGGTCAAATATTACAATGACTTGAATTGATTTGGCTGTAAAACTATTGATACTATTATGTTTTTTTTTTGTTAAAATCCTCCCTGGACTCCCTGTGGATCCACATGCTTTTATTTCAGTTAGTTTTCTTTTTGAAAAGCATAATCATTTTCCATTTCCATTTTATTATACATGCATGGCTGGCTAATGCGGGGGCTTGGCTTAGAGAGGTCCATCATGACTGAATCACATGTTTCATCCGTCTGTTTCCTCCACCTGCTGATAGGACCTGCTGGGTTTGGACAAAGAATGAAATCACCAGTCATCTGCATATACTGGCACACACACACACACACACACTCACACACGCATACATGCATTCTGGAGAAAGCCTGAGAGAAGAGAAAGAGGGCTCCTTATCGAGATAGTCTGTAAATGTTTCTCGTGTGAGCAGCTTGTTTGGGATGTTGTTTTTTAATTTTTAATTTGTTTGTCTGTTTGTTATTTTCCTTTTCTATGTGGTTTGTTTTGAACATGCAAGACTGGACGATGGTTATAAAAGAACAATGTCATGTAATCCGATGCGGGATGGATCAAAAAAGGCAAGACACTTTAATAAAAATTAATGAATGAATTATTTTACTGTGCATATTGTGCATCATGGGCACAAAATATTCCTTCAGGGTGAATGAAATTCTACTTTAACTCATCTTTTCATTAGAACACATATACAACTACTGACAAGTGATGAAAACACTTTGGTGTATAAAAACTGAGACAGCAAAATACAGTTCAAAGGAGCTTAAAACTCAGGTAAAATCAGGAAAGACTCTCTGATACAAGCAGGTTTTAGGAAGAGACTTTAAAGAGATCACGGACTCGACCGACCCGTTGTCCAGCAGCAGATTGTTCCAGAGCCTCGGGGCCCTGACTGAAAACGCTTTGTCCCCTGGAACAGACAAAAGACCTCTGCCCGAGGATCTCAAAATGCAGCGTGTATGGTACTAAGAAGTCAGAGATATAGCTGGGAGAGAGGCCATGAAAAGCCTTAAAAGTAATCAGTAAAATCTCATCATGTCTCTGTCAGCTGTATTCTGAACCGTCTGAAGTCAATAAATAGATTTTTGATTCAGGTGAGAAAAGACGCTGTTGCAGTGATCCAGGTGTGAAGAGATGAAGGTGTGTTTTTGTCATTGTGTCAATTGTGTCATTTTTTAAACATTTATAAGACAATAAAAACATGGCTGCACAAGCTTTGTGACATGCTGCTCAAAACTTACTGTCAAACCAGACTGATATTATCCAGTAGGGGACCAGCCAAAGGCAGAATTTGTCTTGTAACGTGCAGGGGTCTGATGTTTTTACTGCAACAACTGAATTTCCATATAGATTATCAAAAAATCTTTTTATCTTAAACCTACCTGTATTGTAGCAGCAAGTAGCAGGGTGCTCCTCTTCCTCCTCCTCTTCTTGGTGGCTCAGCGTGGCTGAAGCATGGCTCCCTGAATGTTGAGGAAGGAGACACAGAGGAGGTCTGGGCGACCTCAGCCAGCAGTCAGGATTCAGCCTGTACATCCTAAACTCCATCTCCAGGTCCCTCCACGAGTGTTTGTGGTCAGGGATGTGAAATCACTCCCTCCTCTTCCTCTCAGCTCTGCCTCTGAAACCGTACACTGAGCCACAGATGGGTTTTCTCTGGACCGGAGTCCGACGCAGCAGGAATGGCCGTATGAGTCACTTTAGAGAACAAGCTGATTGGGCAGATTGCCTCTGTTAATGATGTAATGCCTTCCATGCCTGTGTTTTGCATGTAGTTAAACATTTTAAGTGTATTTTACATTACTGTTAATTTTTAGAACAAGCTGGGGAGTTTTAGATTTATGACTGTGGTGTATTGAGTTCAAAGACTGACACTAACTTCCATTCATTAAACTGCAGTATAGAAATATCGACTTTAAGGTACTCACAGAGAGCAACATGTTTGTTTTTATTTTTCGTTGATTTTCTTTCTGTGCCATTTTGCCTTTAATTGGCAGGACAGTACTTAAGTGTGAAGATGGGAGAGAGAGGGGGGATGACATGCAGCAGAGGGCTGCAGGCTGGAATCAAACCCATGGCCACTGAGGCAAGGACATTGCCTTTGTACGCAGGATGGCCACTCTATCCACTGAGCTATGCCCCACAGTATCATTATATTAAAGGAGCAGTGTGCAGGATCTAGTGGCATCTAGCAGTGAGGTTTGCAGGTTGCAACCACCAGGTGAAACTTCTGGTTAGGATGTCATTGTGTTCATTGTTCAGAGGGTTTTTACTTGGAGCAGAATTCTCCAGACGTCTCTCCCTCTCCAAAAAAACAAAAAAAAAAACCCTGTGTTTTCCCAACACATTCTCACTCCGACCTCACCACATATTAACATTTGGTCATGGACTTTCCACATCAATGTACGACGTGCAAGGTACCCTGGGTGTGTTGGTTGTTGATGTTCTGGGACGCCACAACTTCAGCCTGTTACATGCATTGTCTTCTTTCAAGATACACTTCAGTTTTCACAGGAAATGTACAGTTTGCATACAGTCTCTTTCAAAATAAAAACACTATGTCGGTACAACACCGCAAATTGATGTTTTTTTTCCTTCAACAACAAACGCACGTGGTCACATTTTGCCAACACATACACACACATGGCTAGGTTTAAGAAAAAAGAACAGGGTTTGGCTTTAGAATCTTACAGGACACGAACACTGATCTCCCGGGTGAAAGTCAGTGGTTTTGAACCCATCCACCACCCCACTTGGGCTTCTGCCTCCTTAAACTTGGTTGTTGTCCTACTGTGTTTCCCCCTGATGCTGCCAGGCACTGTTAAACCATAAAGGACGGCTTTTTTCGTTGGTGTCTGACGCCGGATGTCACTGCCCTAGCGCAGGATTTCGACAACTGCGGTTGTTTTCCCAACGCTTTCATTGCTGACAGGCCGATGTGAAAACACAAAAATGCAAATGTCCCTATCTAAAGCCAATGTTTGGTTTCTTTGTTCTGGGTTACTGTAGAAACATGGCGGTGCAACATCGTGATCTCCATAGACAAGGACCTGCTCCCTATGAAGGTATTTTCAATAACATTTTCAAAAATATTTTCAATGCAGAACTACTTATAACAGAGTATTTTCTCAGTGTGTATTAGTACTTTTTTTCCAGCAGTATCTTTATTAAATTTAACAACAATAAACAAAGACACACACAGACACATATACCAGTATGTGCATGCATACATCCACAAAAAAAGACACCTGAACAAAGACTTGATGCTACGGTGGAAGATTTAACACACACATGTTATCCACCCCTACCTCCCATCCCAAAAGTATAAATGAAACAAAAATAAAAACAAATACAAATAAAATGAATTAATAAATGAGAGAGAGAGAGAAAAACAGGGAGAAAGAAAATCATAAATGACAGGCTGAGGATTGTGTAAGTGCACTGCAATACACTTCAGTTTAAGTATATTAATGTACAAATTTTGACAACAATAAAAAAACATGAAGGGCCCCTAGATATTGTGAAAAAGTAATCGATTACCCCTGATAGCATCTGTAATCTTTTCCCAAGGGCAGAGTTGTTAATAGTCCAGACATCTATTTACCATTTACCCATACACAGCACACCAACTTCCTTCCATCAAAGTGCAATAAGTCTTTGAGCCAATAACAGGTCCATTTCTAAAAAACAAAATGTTTGTATTAGTACTTTTGCTGCAGTGAATGATCTGAATATTTCCTCCATAACTGCAGCTGAACATATTTTGTGTTGTTAAGACAAGTTAACCCTCAGGGCTCTCTGCCTGCATCTCATCAGTTTTTATTACACAGTTTTTCAACATTGCAAAAAGCATTGTAGCCAGCGCTTTGATCTGATTGGCCCATTAGAGGTCATGTGGTCACTCACAGCCAATCAGAACGCAGCAATGAGGAAACCGGACATTTAACAAACATCTCAAAGGTTTCACATTTCTGCCTGTTTCCGCCGCAGTCAGGTCGGTTTATCCCAGGACACAGAAACACATCTATATTCTGGTAACGTGTTAACATAGTTTAGGTGCTTCAGGAATCTTTATTCACTTTATAATCTCGTTGTTTTGGTGTTTGTAGGGAACAGCTGCAGACGCACCCTCTGAAGTTAAGAACCGCGGTGGAAATCTGACCAGAACTCCTCGTCTTATCTGTGTGTATAACAGAATCATGGCCTACCAAGGATACGGTGCTCCCCCCGGTGGATATGGTGGACCCCCAGGTGGATACGGTGCTCCCCCCGGTGGATACGGCGGTCCCCCCGGTGGAGTCGCGGTAAGAAACCGGATTAAAGCTGAATGTGTCCACCGTCCCGGGACGTCCTGTCCAAACAGTGCGGAAGTGGGTCGAGTTGACTGAAATGAGGTGTTTTACTTTCTATAAATGCTCAAAGCTGCAGGTGTAGCACCTGTTTAAATGTTTCTACATTATATTCATCAGTTAAATGTGTTATAAATGTGGATAACTTGTTAGATATCAGCTAACTATCAACGCTAGTGTTCTTTAATTGCTTCCATACGCCTTTTTTTTTTAAAGTTCCAGTGAAAAAATACCACACTGTGAAAAAATACTCCACTACAAGTAAAAGTTCTGCATTCAAGAAATTACTTAAATATAAACAAAATGTACACAAAGTATCAAAAGTTAAAAAAAAAAGTGCAGAAAACATTAGTTGTTCTACTTTATCTGGTGTTTTTTTTTATTAATATCACTGCTGCATTAATGTTGCATTTCATTTAAAGTTGTGTTCATTTCTTTATTTGCTGCTGGTAGTTTGACCTGCAGCAGTGAGGAGATAAATGGTTTCCAGTGGACAGGAAGGGGATAAACACTGTAATCTGAAAAGTCACTAAAGCTGTCAGCTTTGGAGTCACAATGAATCGGGGTCGAGGAAGGGTGGGGTTTCTTCTTCACAGGCCCCTAAAGAGCACACACACACACACTCACAGTCCCACAGTAGATAATCAGATCAATCATTTCAGTGGTGAACCTAAACACACATTGTGATTCAGCGCTGGTGGACAATGTGAGGCATGCAGGCAGCTGGTGCTGATTATGTGAGAGTGAAGAGGAGTTTTGTGCTGCTAAAGAGACAATTGTGAGGTTTATTTGAGAGACAGTAAATTACTCAAATGCTGCACGAACAACAGACAGAGCTGTCTCACACAGAAATATGCTCGCCACTCTGCGTTGGCTCCCAGATAGGTAACAGGGAAGATTTTAAAAACATGATTACAGCTAAACACAGCTTCTTTAAACTTTGTTTATCACGTAAACTCACTTTCAGGGTTTCCATGATCATGGAAAAACCTGGGAATTAGTCAAAATCATTTAAAGTTCTGGAAAAGTTGTGGAAGTTTGTTGTATATGATGAAATCGTCACAATAATCTTCTGTGAATCACCCTCCATGTGATGTAAAAGTAACAGCAAGATAACTTTTTGTAGCTGTTGATGTAACGTAGCTCTAATATGCGTCGATGTGTTTTGCAGCTGAAATTATGTTTGGATAGCATTTGAATATCATATGTTTTTTTTTAGGACCAAATTTTTATTTAGTTTCTTTGCAAAGAATTAACAATAAATCATATGTACATAGTTGCATCACATCCATATACAGTATGTCCATATGTTTCACAAATTTTGTGGTTATTTAAATTCCAAAAGGAAAAATAAACCTATTGTCGAACCCTTCCCTCCCTTCCACACCGTGGCTGGCTTAGGATGACCGGTGATGTCATTTCCATTACATCAGGGCTCAGAAGACAGAGTAGTTGTGCGCACATCCAATCCTCCTTTAGGCCGGATGCTGGATAACAGGGGTCCATGCAGAAAGAAGAAGAAAATCCGCACACTGAATTAGAGCTCCCAGTAAGTTTTTAATGACTAAAAAAGCAACGTTTCGACCCAAATGGTCTTCCTCAGACCATTTGGTCTTCCTTTCGGCCCAAATGGTCTTCCTCAGGCAACTTCAACTGAAGTTGCCTGAGGAAGACCATTTGGGTCGAAAAAAAAAGCAACTTACTTAGTCATTAAAAACTTACTGGGAGCTCTAATTCAGTGTGTGGATTTTCTTCTTCTTTCTGCATTACATCAGGGCTACCTTCTTGAAGGTATGTCTCAAACTCATGACAGGTTGTCTTAAGTAATGACGTTTAAAAGCTGATCCACAGCTAAAGTCCTCTGTTATTTCTACTGCATGTGTTTTTCCACAGCAGGGCAGGTAGAAGAAGTTTACCTGTTGGAGGTGAGCTGTTTGCAGAGGTGCAGTAAGAGCCTGTTGTCTGCAGCTCTTCATCAACATCTCACTGCCGCTGATTCTGATTTTATTCTTCCTCCCTGCTGTATTATCAGACATGCCTTTACTGAAGAGAAACTGCTAACAAAGTTCTGCTAATTCAGTAATAACACATTTAATTTCCTCACAAAGCTGCTTCCTTCGTAGCCATTGCTTGACTCACTGGTTGTGAACTTAATCTTTAAATCTCTCTGATGTTCAATATCCTGGATATATCCAAAGAGTGGGTCTGATGCGATATTTGTGAGCCCTTCAATGAATTTAACAAGGTCAACAAATTTGGCTCTTGTTTTGTTCTTTTCAAAATGATCACATGCAGCTGACAACTAATGTTGAGACAAATCTGTCTCCACATAGACCTCTGACTGGTGTGTGTTGTCTTACTTTTAGAGTTGACTAGTCTACGTTTTAACTTGTGTTTAAATGTCAGGAATATTAGTTGTTAGGAACAACCCTACCTGGAGGTTTGTAACATATAATCCACATTAAGGTGTGTCATCTTCAGAGCTGAAGCGATTAGTTAATGGACACATGAAACCTTTAATGAAACATCCTGAAGACTTTGTTGTTTCTCTGTGTGTCTCTGCAGCAGGATCCTCTCTACGGATATTTTTCAGCTGTGGCTGGACAGGTAAAACACCCCCACTGTAACACTCATTATTGGTGTTTATCTAATCTTTGTGTTATCTGACTGAACTCTGACATGTTTCTCTCCCTTCTCTCTGACAGGATGGACAGATCTCAGCAGACGAGCTGCAGCGCTGCCTCACACAGTCCGGCATCTCTGGATCGTACAAACGTAAGGACACCAGACTGATAAGATATACACTCTAAACAGGAAATGCTCTTTAAGTCTGAGTCAAATTTTAACCTAATACTGTTGTACACAGAAGCCACTTTTCTAAACATGAAGTTGCTTCTTTGTGTCTGCTCAGGTAACAATTCAGTTAAAATGTCTTTTTTCAGCTTTCACAGACTGAATTTTGAAACACCTCTCACAGATAAAGACTGTTATCTTATTTAATACCAATACCAATTTATTTGTCATTATATAAATGTACAGATTTCTGGTTAAAGTATGAAACCATGTAGTCAGTCCATAGGGACCTGGGTTGCAAAGATTTGGAAAATCCAGACCTTTTCCAAGTGAAGTCAAGCTTGTAAAAATGTTATTTTTTAATAGTGAATTTATTTGTAGGGAAGTAAACAATCCCACACATCATCACTGACGAGCCAGGTCCAGCCAGTTCAAGAGTCTTGGTGTCATTCTGTACAGCACTCTTTCTTTCAAACCCTGCATAAAAAAAAACATTACCCAGACTGCTTTATTCCACCTCTGCCACATTTCTAGACTCCGCCCATCACTGTCCCAGTCCAGCGCTGAAGACTTGGTCCCCGCATTTGTTACATCCTGTATTGACTACTATAACGCAGTTCTCTCTGGCCTTCCCATCAAACTCATAAACAGGCTTCAAATCATTCAAAACTCTGCTGCCCGAATCATTACCTGCACCAAATCATCCAAACGCACCACCCCCATTATCATTTAACTACACTGGCTCCATGATCAGTACCGAATTGACCGCAAAAACCTTCTGCTCACCTTCAAAGCCCTCCACAAACACGATACGTCATGTTTGTAGTCAACCAATGAAGATGAGTTTACATATCACCTTGGGTTCGTCCTTCACCTTCTCAAAATGATCCCACGCTTTGGATTTCCTGCCTGACATGTTATTAACTAGCCTGTGGAATAACCACAGGTACCAGCTCTGGACATTAACCCGACTCCTGTCTGACTGCTGAGCGTGGACACTTCCTGTGTCTGTCCTTTCAAATTAAATTCCAACATGGTCCAACATGGTCAACTATCAGGGGGCAGCTCTAATATTTTTGCATAAGACCATTCCTGCCTGTTATGCATTGAGTCTCAACATTTTCCCACTTGTCAACATGTACATTGAGTATTTGTTTATTTTTTGTCCATATGAGTGTGGGATTGTTTCTAGCCTGTGTGCTTACAGTCTGTGTTTTCCTTTTACAGCCTTCTGCCTGGAGACCTGCAGACTGATGATCAGCATGTTGGATGTATCCTTCAACCATCAGCCACTCACAGAGGTTTAGTAGGTTGACTCAAAAGATGGAAGTTGTTAATTACAAATGTCAATTTCACATCAACATTTGTGGTTAAAACCCCAGCAAGAGTAAAAATAGTTGAACTTCCTGTTTCAACCAACCTGTTGATGCATAAACATGTTTATGTTCCTGTCAGTCACCACCCAGTTGAGACCACAAACATTTTCTCACAGGCTGCAGTGTCTGCATTGGCACATGATTATTGGAGCTTCTAAAAAGTTCACTAAATGTTTGTTTAGCATTTTTTAATTCTTTCCATTTGTAAATTAATTCCACTTTCATACTGTGTGACTGAAGTTATACAGTATGACATCACCTACGTGTTGTTGTAAAACAAAGCCTTACAATATAACAATTATTTCTGTTTTTTCTTTGAAAAATTTGGCCCATCCAGTCACTGATTTGTTGAATGCTCTTTCTCAGTGCTTGTGTGTGACCAGATTCACCCAGGAACATTGTTCTTTAAATCTGTGTGTTGTCTGCATGATTAATTTAGGATGTTTTGTTCTTTTTGGAACGTTCAATAGCTCATCTGGTAAAACAGGTGCCCCACGTACAAAGGCCATGTCCTTTGTTTGATTCCAACCCACGGCCCTCTGCTGCACCTCATCCCCCCTCTCCTCCCTTTCACGCTATAGCTGCCCTATGGAATATAGGCAAAAAGCCCTCCTAAAAAATTATCTTTAAGATATGTTGTTGTTTTCATAACCTGAGCTATAGGGAGCATGTAGATGTGGCCCAAGAATGGAGCCTTGGGGAACGCCACCTTTCATTTTCATAGGCTCAGATATGTAATTAACAATCAACACAAAACAGTCCCGGTCCTTTAATTAGGACTCAGACCAGTTTAACACTCTGCCAGAAAGCCCCACCCAGTTTTCCAGTCTGTCCAGTGAGATGTTGCAGAATGCAGCGCTGATAATGCCAGCACTGAAACTTTTCCACTCTGTTTCAGCGTCATCCACGACCTTAATAGAGCAGTTTCGGTGCTGTGGTGTGGTTGGAATCCTCACTGGAAAACAGAACAGTTGTTTAGAGCCAGGTAGATGTTAAGCTGCTGAAAAATAAAGTTTTAATTATTTTACTTGAGATTTGGATGTTTGACATTGGTCTGTAGTTATTCATGAATAGAGGTGTTTAGATTGTTTAAGAGTGGCTTAATAACAGCAGTTTACAGAGCCTGAGAGAGACGGCCACAGAGAAGTGTTTAATATTTGCAGAAGGTCTTTCACACCAAACTGGGAGAAGTAAACCTGGCTTTGTGCGCAGGGACATTGTTATGCTAAGACTAGTCTGACTCAACAGACGTAGACTGTGGCTCTAAACCTGGCATCGGGATGCTGATTTAGGCGGGCATTCTCCCTTCCTCCTAAAATTCAGAATCATTATAATCCATAAAGATAAACTGTATTTGTGTACAAACTTTTTATTTTGGATTTTGTCGTCTCACCTTGCTACCAGCCTCCGTTGGTTAGCTGTGCTATTTTACGTGGAGGAAACTGGGAATGACGTGAACTGTTTCAAAAATTAGGTCTCACTAAAATATCCTGTTGGCGGATCAGATACATGCTGAAACAATCATTTTATTCACTCCACCAGTTTCTCTTCCTCCTTCCACAGTACAGGAGAACACAGACTTGTTCACGTTCTTGTTCCCCCCGGGAGTCCCCTCCATGTTCACTCTCTATCCACTCTGCTACTTCCTGTTTGGTGCTTAAGACAGTGCAGCTATTGGTTGTTGACAATGCCGACATCATTGAACTTTAGTATTTGAATGAGCCAAGACTAAAAGTAACCATAATGTTAAACATGTTTGATTTTATCTGAATTTTAAGATGAAGAAAAACACTGAGCTTAACTCGGACTGAGTTTTATGACCATCTTACATCAAACCATTAAGATCTTGGGAGCGTGCACCAACTGAGGAAAAGCTCTCATGATTTTGTTCCGACATTGGAAATCTGTCTGCTACAGTGAAACCGCTTGAAAAGTTGTTTGGTGTAAGTTTGATATTCATCATTTGGTGGATGTATTGTATCATTTCCTGCCTGTGCAAATCAGTAAAATACAATAGTTTCTCTAATACTACCTGCAAAAACTGTATACTGTGAAGTGCAGCATACAGTAAACACTGTGTTATATTAGTATGTAATATGAAATTGGAGCACCCACAATGTCTTATCCGTTATCTTCTTCCCATCTGGGATGAGGATTATTCAGTGAGTATGGAGACATTTGACCTGGCTAGATGTAATCACTTCTGAGTGAAGTGCTTGGCAAAAATACAACTGGAAAAGTGTGTGATTGGTCCTTGACTGGCTGTGTTGTCTCAGAGGGACTATTCCAACAGCATGGGCTTCAATGAGTTCAAGGAACTGTCTCAGGTTCTGAACGGCTGGAAGAACACCTTCGCATCCTACGACCGAGACCGCAGTGGGACTGTGGAGGGCCATGAGCTGCAGCAGGCCCTCAGCACCATGGGTACGGGCAAAAACAACCTGTTAGACATCTTGTAGTTTTATATTTTCATTTTCAATTTGTCACAAAGCAGTCTTAAATCTAACATGCAACAGATTTTATTTGAGAAAAACTTCTTGGTTTTGTATAAAGGCAGATAAGCTACGAGATACGCAGAGTAAACACAAATATTAGGCGACTGCTCTCAGTGCATGATGTTAATGTCATTATGTATTTCTCCGCAGGTTTTAATCTGAGCCCTCAGGCAATGAACATCCTCATGAAGCGCTACAGCTCAAACGGCAGAATCGCCTTTGATGATTTCATCAGCTGTTGTGTGAAACTCCGCGCGCTGACAGGTGAGTGAGCCGAGGAACATGTTAAGTCTGAGACCATTTATATAAAATACCAGAAACCATCAGAGGAAACACTGAACTAACACTGGCAGATGACTGAGAGCTTCCTTCTTCTACTTCTGGATATTTGGACTTGTTTACATATTGATGTAATGCTGTTACCCACGGCAACAACAAGCATGGCTGAAAGTGACATTATTCCAGACTCCACAGTGGTTCCAAAAAGAGGAGCAGCTTCAGTAGTGTGGAATAAACTGTGGCGTCCTGAATGTTTTATGAACAGCCCCGGACTTCTCAGACTCTTTGAGTGACTTACCGCTCAGAGGGAACTCATTCAGCAGCTCCTCTGGCAGCAGCACAGCGTCTCTCCCTCTCCTCTCTCTGATTTTCGTATAAACCTTTGGTAATGTAAACCTACGTGATGCTCGCAGCTTGACAAAAAACTCCATATATGTGAATGTGTGATAGTTGTGGTATCATAACAGCCTGTCACAGGTTACAGCGTGATGATTAGAGAAGAAATGGCAGACCATAAAAATCCATGTGGAAAAAAAACAGCTCAATCATTTAGGATTTTACTAAAAGAAGGAAATCAGCTGTTGATTTATATATATATAGATCCCAGGGGACATTTTTTGTATTTGGGAGCTGTTTAAATGTGTAATTAGAGGTAGATTTTATTTAGTTGAACTATTAATATTATAACAGAATCTGAATCTCTCTGTTGTTGTTCACAAACTAAAGAAATGAGATATCATTTTGATTTAGGTTTTACTGAATATTTGAAGGTCAACTCTAAAACTATATCACTTATTTTGTTGCAATTCCGATTTCTTAAATTAATAATAAAATATCTCTTTTTACTAATTTGTCAGATTGTCAAGAATTACATAGCAATTAGAAGTACGTTATTGCAAAAATACCCTGAAGTATTGTGATGTTATTTTAGGACCATGTAATGCCCACCCCTGCTTCACACTGTCATCACATGGCTGAAAGTCTGTGTTGTCAGATTTAACGTTTAAAGTATTTATTAGTTAATCATGTCGTTTGTTTTCATGTTTTTCAGATCAGTTCCAAAGGAGGGACACAACCCGAAATGGCCAGGCCACATTTCAGTACGATGATGTAAGTTACTGACACTTTTCTGAAGCTTTAATGTCTCTGCTGCTGTTGGCACACCTGAGTCCATCAGAGCTGCACAGGAGAACTGGCTGTTTGAATCTAATAACTAAATATACAACTGGGTTAGAGCATTTGTCTCAGCTGACAGGTTAGCTGATATCCAAACACAGAATCATTTGGGTGGATCAGCAATATATTTGTCACTTCACAGGCTAAAATTAACTACAGCTGGTAATTTCAATAGGCGTCTCAATTCTATACTGTTGACTAAATTCTGAATATATTGTACAGCATACAGACACTATACATGGTAAACTATTGTGGCAATTAATGTGAAGTAAATAATGTACTTTACAGTTTTACAGTAACTGCAGTGTTTATACACTCAGTTACTGTAAAACTGTTTCTAAGGATTATTATTTTGTTTTGTGACCTTTCAGAGCTGCAGCACATGTCTGCACAATTATTTCTCTCTGCTGGTTTTTCTCCATCTTTAGTAACACATTTCTTTAATCTGCATTAACTGGTTTTTTGGGTTCACAAGCTGTGAACGCACCACCGACATATCATGACCTTTTGTGTTGATACACGAAAACTACTGTATTTAAACACTCATAAGATATGAAGGAAGATGAGTGTGTATTTGGAGTTGTGTTTGTGTACTGACACACAAACACAACTGACACTGTCAGAATTTTATCCCAGGCTGTCTTTGACAGCCAATGACAGTCCTTGAAACTGTCTCACTGTGTGACGTAGGACCACCGCTTTAGAGCCAGGACCAAAGATATGGCCACATTTCTTTGACGTTGGTCACCTTTCACCTGGGACAACCCAAAATTGTACAGTGTATACCAGGCTTAATATTCATCCTCCTTTTAGCTGCCTTTCAGCCCTGTTTTCAGCGAACAAGCTGATACCAGATAAACCCACTGTACACTGCCTGAACAGAAACAAACAGCAGACAGACACAGTTAGAGACTGACAACATTAGCATCTAAAGAGAGAGTGCTGTGTGTCTGCTCGATGATCTCCAGGAGGAAGGTGTTGGCTAACTTCCCACCAAAACATCTATGAATGCAGCTTTAACCAGTGTTGTTCGACCCTCTGGTGAACTCCTCTGATAAATGGTGTAGTAAATGACCAGACTGATAGATGATTGATGATCAGTTGTGCAATAACACTAAATATATATTTCTCTCTCTGTAGTTTATCCAGGTCACCATGAGCATATGAAGAGGAATAGACGAAACAGAGGGGACACTCCAGCCCTTTAACACCTTCTCATATTAACAGCATGTACTACTCTCATTGGTTTTATTTTTAATCGTCGTTGAAATGTTAAAGTCACATTCCATTTTACCAGAAACTTTTTTTTTAACAAAGTTGTTTTGTAATAAACTAACAAACCTATATGAACAAAGTAACTTAGGGTTATACCACTAACAAACCTCTACAGTACGTGTCTGTGTTAGTCCATGGTGCATATCAGTGTAAACACGTATGAAATGAATAAACATGACATCCATCACAGCCTGATGTTTGGCTCCTTTCTTTGAGAATGGTTGGGTTGTTTTTATTTGTTTGTATTTTTGAACTCAGATGCAGAGTGACAGAAACATTTTAACAAATTAAAGTGAAAAATGATATAGGCCACTGAAATAGTTCAAACTTCCTCGTCCGTTAAACTTGTGTGCAGGTTAACCCCTGTCCTAAATTAATGTAGGCTACAGCTACTGTATACCACGGGAAATATAAAAGAAGGTATGGTCACGATGACAGTGACAGTGTTGACTGAAAAATCTTTCCACTAGATTAAAAACACACATCATGTGAAAGTAAATAACTAAAAAGATCTTCATATAGAGTGTGGATAATCAGTAAGTCGGTGGTGTAGATCTGATTGAGTGGAGAAATAGTGTAGTGTAAGGTTTGTGAAGCAAAAGGAAAAACTAAAGACCAAAACGTGTGAATGCTGGAGGTTATCTTTATTTAACCAGGTAAAAACCTAACTGAGATTAAAAATCTCTTTTACAAGCGTGGTGCATCCCAAAGGGCAGCATAAAAGATTGATACAAGTTACAACAATGCAAACCACAGTATCCAATTAACATGGAATACAAGGTCCAGTACAAGAACAAATATGATGTGAGCACAATTTCTAAAATGATTTAGGAACAATCACATTGGCTACAAGTTTTCGATGTGTGATTTGAAAGACAAGTTCTGATCGATGATGATACCTACATACTTGTATGTTGTAACCATTCCAATTTCAGTCCCTTGAGTAGTTAAGATCTTTGGAAGATTAGATGTTAACTATTTGCCATTTGAAAATAGCACTGGTTTTGGATTTTTCTGCATTTAACACCAGCTTAAGTTGAGGTCGGAGGGTCTGAACATCATCAAAGGCAGACTGCAGGTATTCCAGAGCTCTTACTACTGAAGGGGACGAACAGTAGATGACGGTATCTTGGTCTAACATTTTTTCTGCACTAATGCAAGAAAAATAAGTACAAAACAGAATATTTATCAGAACAAGTATAAGAGGACTCTGGAATGATTGCACTGTTTGGACCGCCCATAACCAATTTGATCCCCTGTTAAAGAGTCTGAAATATGTGAACATGGCATACTGGTTTGAACCAAAATGTGATGAGCCAGAGGTCAATATAACACACAGTTTACAACTATTTGAAATCAGATTATTTCTCTATTTCCACAGGTCTGTTTAAATTTATTTTATTGTGTGGCAACAGGTTAAATATCTTCACTCAGTCTTGTATATTTCCTTTTATACTACTAGTAAAACAAGAGCCTCTAAATAAAGTCATACAGACATCAGTCTACCATTGTAAGAGTTTTCACTGCGAACAGTTTGTGCTCATTTATTTTCATTTCAAACAAAATATCATATGATGAGGAGAGGACAGAGCGTAGCATGCTGACAGGACTGGCTGGCGAGATCCATCAGTGCTGACACATCCGCAATAAGCTTCTTCTTCTTCTTCGCCCTCGTCTGTACATCACATTCTTTGGGAAAAAAATTGAGGCATGTGTACCATACTGTGAAAAAAACAAAAAACAAGTAGTGACTGTTTTTGGCACTGCACAAACTTTAACTTTGCATACATTTGGCGTAAAACCGAATGCCTCTGACAGGCGAAGGATTTTTAGGGTTAGGGTTACGATAAATGATCACATCAGCATTTAACCACAGCACAACTGAGGCTGCAGTGAACAATCTTTGTCTGTGTTTTGTGCACCATAATCATTACTAAATTCCTTCAGTATATTATCTTATCATATAATGACCAAAACTCTGGCTGTGGGTGTGTCTGTGTGTCTGTTCCACGTTTTTCTCCTCACTGCTATAGCAACCCATTGAAATGTCAAACTTTGAATGGGCATATCTCATGCCCCGTATGTCGTAGAGACATGAAACTTTGCACAGAGATGCCTCTCCTCATGAGGAACACATTTGCCTCAACAACCCATAACTTCCGCTTATATAGATTTTCTGCCATTTTGAATTTTTTGAAAAACACTTCAAATGTATCTCTTCCTAGGAAGTTTGAGCGATCTGCATGAAACTGGGTGAACATAATCTAGGGACCAATATCTAAAGTTCCCTCTTGGCAAAAGTTGGAAAACTTACTAAAACTGAGCTTCTATAAGGCAATGAATATTGCGGAGGGCGTGGCTCATCACATAAAGGTGTATAACATCTCAAGGGTTTCACCCATCACCACGCAACTTTGTAGGCATATGACCACACATAATCTGAGGGGACCCCTCCATTATTGACCCCATCAAACAAAATGGGGGCGCTTGAGAGCTCATTTCTTATCTAGGCCTAACCGCCATATGGATTTTTACTTAACTTGGTAGATATGTAGAACAGGACGCCTCAAGGTGACTGGAGAAATTTAACTCTAATTGGCAACTGGGTGGTGCTATAACAACAGAAAAATGCTTCAAAATGGCTAAATGTGATCGATCGCTGTGGCTCCCCCTGTGGACCAATGTTGGTGTTGTTTCTAATGTTTGGTATGACTAAGTCATGGTATGGTATGCTGTACATAATCACGGAAACTGTCAGTGTGTCATTCTGTCAGTCAGTCATTCTGTCTGTCCCACGTTTTTCTAATCACTGACGTGGTCATTCTATGTGAAACTGCACATAGGCATTGAGGATTGGCATAGGTAGAAGGTGACAAAGCTACCAATGGGTATGGACTGGTATGATATATAATTATCAGAGTGGTTACATTGCAGCCTCTCTCTTATTCCTGGATGACTTTGTCTCCATTAGACATAAACACAATAGGGTCCAGGTTGAAAAATACTTAAGTTTTCCCTTAACCCTGGGTAACTGCAAGTAAGCTGTTATTGATTTGAAACTGAATGTGTGTGTTTCGGGTCTTTACTGTTCAGCCTCACTGTTTTCTCCCCTACAGCTGTAGCAGAGTTGTGTTTAAGCTGTTTTGTATTGTTGCATGTGCAACCTTGCATGATTGGAAAAACATCAGTCTATTGTGCTACTAGTAGGGATGCAACAGTATTACAGAATTATTATTATTATTATTATTATTATTATCAGTCAGAATGACCCTTAAAGGGATGAAAACAGAAGTGTTATTGTTGGTTGAACAAACATTTTCTTACTGTAACTGAAACTTGACGCCATTGTGTTAATGGAAGTACCATAAAACTTCAATTAATAGCCCGGGCTATTGTTTGCTTATCACTGAAATCAACAGGCCTGTATTGGGGACAGGCCTTTAATACCTTTCACAGAAAACTGTTGCTCAGCAAAGATGGGAAAGATAATCAAATTGTTTATTTAAACCAGTGTGAATATTATTTATATCAAAATTAGGTTCCAGATAATATATCAATTATGAATCGCTCATTTGATCTAGCTCTGACAGACAGAGCATCAGAGAGGATCATGGCACCCAGCATACCGATACAACACCACTTTATCCTGTTAAAACAGGTGTATTTGATCTGAGGAGCCTTATGGACTAAAGGAATATGAATAACTTATAGGGTAATCTAAGAATGGACACATAATTTGAGGTAGCCAACAACCTGCTTTTATACATCCGAAGACTTCCTTTAAAAAAATGAACTGCCTGGCAACCAGACCAGGCCTCTATTGAGACAGGCCTTTATTTGTCAAAATGTGTAGCCACACCGAGCCAGTAAAAGGGACTGGGATTTCCCTTAAACATAGGAAGGAAATGTGAAACATCAAGCCAGTGAAAGGTTTCTGTATTCTGTAGATTTAACACAGTGGTGCGCTACATACCTGCCATGCTACCTTCACCCCATATCGCACGTAGGTGGCGAGGTTTTCGCAGTTGTTGGTGAAGAGTCGATATTTGTCACATTTTCCAACGGTTTCATTGATGCGCTTCATTATGTCTTCTTTGGTCCCTGGTTTGAAGTCCCTGATCCCGTCCAAGTAGTTGTCCTTGAAATCTCTTTTCCATTTTCCTCTCGTCTTTTCAAGTTTGTCAAAACGACAATCAGAGGGCTTTGATCTTCCCAGCCTACCTGTTAGTGAGAATAAACATTTAGAAATATTAAATATAAACTTGACACAAAAGGTGTTACTTCATCCTCTGCTGTTTAATTTGCTCTTTTCTTATTTTCATTTGTGTCAGAAATGGGCCGTTTTTCTTCTGCACACACAGACTGTAACTGTGACTGTAACTAGAGGAGGAAGGAAAAGTTTCAGCAGCATCAACTCAAGCAGCTGATCAGCAGGATTAGGAGTCCTGCAGCTCAGCCACCAGCTGTAGTAGCTCATAGGTGAACATGCAGAGCATAAACTGGCAAGCACATCTACAGTATATGTACACATGCTGAAGGAACATGGAGACATCTAGTGGTTTGGTTTGAATTCAACACCCACTTTGGTTAAATGAATATTCTCCTCTCTCGTTATATTAACGTTCCCAGCACTCGATTTAGTTTCTCCAAAATGTTGCTGCTGGTCACAGCTTAAGGAGAGACACAAATATATCTCACCATCATGAAACTTCACCAGCTGATTACTCACAGGAAGACAGTTATTTTTCTATATTACAAGTTTTTCAGTAATGTTATGTTTGGATATGCAAATGAGGTGTTATCTCAATAAGTATGCACTGATTTGCATAAATTTCCAGAACAAAAATTTTAACAAGACAGCATAACACTGTCTCATCACCAACCACTTATAACAACACAGCTACTTTGCACTTTTTACTTCCACACCAGAAAAGAAGACTAACATAGGAAAGTTTATTGAGGTGCAGCTCAACCCATGCTTACCACTGTAATAATGTAATAGGCTATATGTCTATATCTTGAACGGTGAATATAGATTCAACATTACTTTTATTTTAACTCATTTGTATTTTTTGTAATATTGTTTATTTCAATCACTTTTTTTTTTTTTTGGCTTTTTGTATATTTCTTCTGACTCTTGAGCTGCTGTAATGAATGAATTTCCTCAGTGTGGGATTTATAAAGTTTTA